CCAGTGGGACTCGAACCCAGAAAGCACAACTACCTTCCAGTAGCTGGCATAACTAGTATGCTTTAACCCACTACGCCATCAGACCTTACAAAAGAAGTAGATAGTTCGAGATATATATCTCAAACATCTCTACCTCCCGAAGGCACCAGATGAGTGAGGGGTCAGTCTGCATTTTTCGTCAAGCCACTGTCAATGTGAGAGAACTCGTGTCCAGCTTATAAGCCTATACTTGCATAAACCACAAGTGAAGATAAACAATCTTTGGACAACACCCACCAGTGGGACTCGAACCCAGAAAGCACAACTACCTTCCAGTAGCTGGCATAACTAGTATGCTTTAACCCACTACGCCATCAGACCTTACAAAAGAAGTAGATAGTTCGAGATATATATCTCAAACATCTCTACCTCCCGAAGGCACCAGATGAGTGAGGGGTCAGTCTGCATTTTTCGTCAAGCCACTGTCAATGTGAGAGAACTCGTGTCCAGCTTATAAGCCTATACTTGCATAAACCACAAGTGAAGATAAACAATCTTTGGACAACACCCACCAGTGGGACTCGAACCCAGAAAGCACAACTACCTTCCAGTAGCTGGCATAACTAGTATGCTTTAACCCACTATGCCATCAGACCTTACAAAAGAAGTAGATAGTTCGAGATATATATCTCAAACATCTCTACCTCCCGAAGGCACCAGATGAGTGAGGGGTCAGTCTGCATTTTTCGTCAAGCCACTGTCAATGTGAGAGAACTCGTGTCCAGCTTATAAGCCTATACTTGCATAAACCACAAGTGAAGATAAACAATCTTTGGACAACACCCACCAGTGGGACTCGAACCCAGAAAGCACAACTACCTTCCAGTAGCTGGCATAACTAGTATGCTTTAACCCACTACGCCATCAGACCTTACAAAAGAAGTAGATAGTTCGAGATATATATCTCAAACATCTCTACCTCCCGAAGGCACCAGATGAGTGAGGGGTCAGTCTGCATTTTTCGTCAAGCCACTGTCAATGTGAGAGAACTCGTGTCCAGCTTATAAGCCTATACTTGCATAAACCACAAGTGAAGATAAACAATCTTTGGACAACACCCACCAGTGGGACTCGAACCCAGAAAGCACAACTACCTTCCAGTAGCTGGCATAACTAGTATGCTTTAACCCACTACGCCATCAGACCTTACAAAAGAAGTAGATAGTTCGAGATATATATCTCAAACATCTCTACCTCCCGAAGGCACCAGATGAGTGAGGGGTCAGTCTGCATTTTTCGTCAAGCCACTGTCAATGTGAGAGAACTCGTGTCCAGCTTATAAGCCTATACTTGCATAAACCACAAGTGAAGATAAACAATCTTTGGACAACACCCACCAGTGGGACTCGAACCCAGAAAGCACAACTACCTTCCAGTAGCTGGCATAACTAGTATGCTTTAACCCACTACGCCATCAGACCTTACAAAAGAAGTAGATAGTTCGAGATATATATCTCAAACATCTCTACCTCCCGAAGGCACCAGATGAGTGAGGGGTCAGTCTGCATTTTTCGTCAAGCCACTGTCAATGTGAGAGAACTCGTGTCCAGCTTATAAGCCTATACTTGCATAAACCACAAGTGAAGATAAACAATCTTTGGACAACACCCACCAGTGGGACTCGAACCCAGAAAGCACAACTACCTTCCAGTAGCTGGCATAACTAGTATGCTTTAACCCACTACGCCATCAGACCTTACAAAAGAAGTAGATAGTTCGAGATATATATCTCAAACATCTCTACCTCCCGAAGGCACCAGATGAGTGAGGGGTCAGTCTGCATTTTTCGTCAAGCCACTGTCAATGTGAGAGAACTCGTGTCCAGCTTATAAGCCTATACTTGCATAAACCACAAGTGAAGATAAACAATCTTTGGACAACACCCACCAGTGGGACTCGAACCCAGAAAGCACAACTACCTTCCAGTAGCTGGCATAACTAGTATGCTTTAACCCACTACGCCATCAGACCTTACAAAAGAAGTAGATAGTTCGAGATATATATCTCAAACATCTCTACCTCCCGAAGGCACCAGATGAGTGAGGGGTCAGTCTGCATTTTTCGTCAAGCCACTGTCAATGTGAGAGAACTCGTGTCCAGCTTATAAGCCTATACTTGCATAAACCACAAGTGAAGATAAACAATCTTTGGACAACACCCACCAGTGGGACTCGAACCCAGAAAGCACAACTACCTTCCAGTAGCTGGCATAACTAGTATGCTTTAACCCACTACGCCATCAGACCTTACAAAAGAAGTAGATAGTTCGAGATATATATCTCAAACATCTCTACCTCCCGAAGGCACCAGATGAGTGAGGGGTCAGTCTGCATTTTTCGTCAAGCCACTGTCAATGTGAGAGAACTCGTGTCCAGCTTATAAGCCTATACTTGCATAAACCACAAGTGAAGATAAACAATCTTTGGACAACACCCACCAGTGGGACTCGAACCCAGAAAGCACAACTACCTTCCAGTAGCTGGCATAACTAGTATGCTTTAACCCACTACGCCATCAGACCTTACAAAAGAAGTAGATAGTTCGAGATATATATCTCAAACATCTCTACCTCCCGAAGGCACCAGATGAGTGAGGGGTCAGTCTGCATTTTTCGTCAAGCCACTGTCAATGTGAGAGAACTCGTGTCCAGCTTATAAGCCTATACTTGCATAAACCACAAGTGAAGATAAACAATCTTTGGACAACACCCACCAGTGGGACTCGAACCCAGAAAGCACAACTACCTTCCAGTAGCTGGCATAACTAGTATGCTTTAACCCACTACGCCATCAGACCTTACAAAAGAAGTAGATAGTTCGATGTAGGTAGAGATGGTAGAGATGTTAGGGAGGTAGAGATGTTTGAGATATATCTCGAACTATCTACTTCTTTTGTAAGGTCTGATGGCGTAGTGGGTTAAAGCATACTAGTTATGCCAGCTACTGGAAGGTAGTTGTGCTTTCTGGGTTCGAGTCCCACTGGTGGGTGTTGTCCAAAGATTGTTTATCTTCACTTGTGGTTTATGCAAGTATAGGCTTATAAGCTGGACACGAGTTCTCTCACATTGACAGTGGCTTGACGAAAAATGCAGACTGACCCCTCACTCATCTGGTGCCTTCGGGAGGTAGAGATGTTTGAGATATATATCTCGAACTATCTACTTCTTTTGTAAGGTCTGATGGCATAGTGGGTTAAAGCATACTAGTTATGCCAGCTACTGGAAGGTAGTTGTGCTTTCTGGGTTCGAGTCCCACTGGTGGGTGTTGTCCAAAGATTGTTTATCTTCACTTGTGGTTTATGCAAGTATAGGCTTATAAGCTGGACACGAGTTCTCTCACATTGACAGTGGCTTGACGAAAAATGCAGACTGACCCCTCACTCATCTGGTGCCTTCGGGAGGTAGAGATGTTTGAGATATATATCTCGAACTATCTACTTCTTTTGTAAGGTCTGATGGCGTAGTGGGTTAAAGCATACTAGTTATGCCAGCTACTGGAAGGTAGTTGTGCTTTCTGGGTTCGAGTCTCACTGGTGGGTGTTGTCCAAAGATTGTTTATCTTCACTTGTGGTTTATGCAAGTATAGGCTTATAAGCTGGACACGAGTTCTCTCACATTGACAGTGGCTTGACGAAAAATGCAGACTGACCCCTCACTCATCTGGTGCCTTCGGGAGGTAGAGATGTTTGAGATATATATCTCAAACTATCTACTTCTTTTGTAAGGTCTGATGGCGTAGTGGGTTAAAGCATACTAGTTATGCCAGCTACTGGAAGGTAGTTGTGCTTTCTGGGTTCGAGTCCCACTGGTGGGTGTTGTCCAAAGATTGTTTATCTTCACTTGTGGTTTATGCAAGTATAGGCTTATAAGCTGGACACGAGTTCTCTCACATTGACAGTGGCTTGACGAAAAATGCAGACTGACCCCTCACTCATCTGGTGCCTTCGGGAGGTAGAGATGTTTGAGATATATATCTCGAACTATCTACTTCTTTTGTAAGGTCTGATGGCGTAGTGGGTTAAAGCATACTAGTTATGCCAGCTACTGGAAGGTAGTTGTGCTTTCTGGGTTCGAGTCCCACTGGTGGGTGTTGTCCAAAGATTGTTTATCTTCACTTGTGGTTTATGCAAGTATAGGCTTATAAGCTGGACACGAGTTCTCTCACATTGACAGTGGCTTGACGAAAAATGCAGACTGACCCCTCACTCATCTGGTGCCTTCGGGAGGTAGAGATGTTTGAGATATATATCTCGAACTATCTACTTCTTTTGTAAGGTCTGATGGCGTAGTGGGTTAAAGCATACTAGTTATGCCAGCTACTGGAAGGTAGTTGTGCTTTCTGGGTTCGAGTCCCACTGGTGGGTGTTGTCCAAAGATTGTTTATCTTCACTTGTGGTTTATGCAAGTATAGGCTTATAAGCTGGACACGAGTTCTCTCACATTGACAGTGGCTTGACGAAAAATGCAGACTGACCCCTCACTCATCTGGTGCCTTCGGGAGGTAGAGATGTTTGAGATATATATCTCGAACTATCTACTTCTTTTGTAAGGTCTGATGGCGTAGTGGGTTAAAGCATACTAGTTATGCCAGCTACTGGAAGGTAGTTGTGCTTTCTGGGTTCGAGTCCCACTGGTGGGTGTTGTCCAAAGATTGTTTATCTTCACTTGTGGTTTATGCAAGTATAGGCTTATAAGCTGGACACGAGTTCTCTCACATTGACAGTGGCTTGACGAAAAATGCAGACTGACCCCTCACTCATCTGGTGCCTTCGGGAGGTAGAGATGTTTGAGATATATATCTCGTATATATATATATATATATATATATATATATATATATATATATATATATATATATATATATATATATATATATAATTGGAATTTATCCTTATTTAAGGAGAAAATTAGAGGAAAACAAATGCAGGTTCAGAGGAGGGATAGAAGCCAGCTAAAAAATAATGCTAGCGAAATGTGCATTGAACACACTTATTTAAAAGCAGGCGGCACACTCAAAGACAATTGTTTGCATTTTGATATTAGTAAAAAATTTTATATATGCTATTGATTGCTTTGAAACGTAAAAGGCTTTTCAATTACATAATATTGTTAAATAAATGAAACTTAATTCCAAATATCATTGGCACTCATTACTTTCTAAATGTTATGGAACTGTTTATGGATACTGGATATATATCTTAATAAATTCAATGTTAAAAGCTGTGCGATTGTTGTTACTAGCCTTGAAGTTTTAGATTGTCAGAAAGAATATCAATAAATCTAAGCACAGTTTACATAACGCTATACATAATACTAACTTAAATTTTACTCTTTTTGCCTGCAACAGCCAAATAAAAAGATCCAAAGCATTCATAATATGTAAATAAATAAACAAAACTTGTGTGATGTACTTGTTGGAAAGTGTCTGAATTCCCCAAAACTAAATATTTTGCTGCCTAAGGGAATTTTTACGTATTAGAAAACATCAAAAAGTTCTTAGCCAAGTCAAGGAATATGAAAGGTTTATTTATTAATGGGCTGATATTCCACGCTATATTTACTAAAGAGGATGATATTCCACCCTATATTTACTAAATATAGGGTGGAATATCTTCTTCACCCTTTCTTCAAGTTGTAAATCATTTTCTTTTATATTTTGCTAATTAGTTCCCACGTTTTAAACAAAATGTTGAATGTTCCCAGGGATATGTGTGTTGTATCGTTGACCTTAATGAAAGGCTTCTCATAGCACTGATGACATGCACTTCCAATGATGAAGTGTATCGCTGTTTATGATGGAAAGCTCCTCATTGTGGGGTGATTACCTGCAACATGCAATTGCAATGATTATGCTGTTTTTGTTGCTTATATGTCTTTGCATCATAAAATTCAAGTACCAACGTTCATCTAATATTTTCTAAAATGTTTTGTGATGTCTTATTACTTTATGAAGATTAACAATAAAATATAAATAAGTTGGCAGAGAAGCTGGGAACTTGTAGCTTAATATATAGGAGATATAGTGAAATTGATATATATTCAAGGGAGTTGGGAGTTATATGTTACTGTAAGTTCATCATGATGGGTGGAGAGAGATGTAAAGGATGCAGTTGTGATTATTGTGTCTGTTGCAGGTGATAATTATGAACCATCATTGACATAATTGTGGCAATGGTGATTGTGTTAGCTGTGGGTGATAATTATGACACTACCGAAGCAATTATGGTGGTAGTGATTGTTGTGTCAGTGGTGGTTGATAATTATTACACGTCACTGATAATTGTCGTCGTGGTGATTATTGTGACTCATGGTTTCATGAATACTACTCTCTTCCTCATATATTCTCGTTTCTGTCATGAATACTTCTTTCCTACAATAATACTCTTTACCTTTTTTTCATTAATGCTGCTATTGTATTCCTTCTTGAATGCTGTTTTTTTCTTTCATGAATACTCCTCTTTCCTTTAAGAATACGGTTCTCTTTCCTTTATGAACATTGTTCTCTTCTTCATGAATACTTCCCTCTTTACTTCGTGAATACTACTGTATTTCTTCCTGAATACTGCTGTATTTCTTTTGTGAATTTTAGTTTCTTTCCTTCATAAATACGACTTCCTTTAATTCAGAAATACTGATTACTTTTCTTTATAAATTCTGCTCTTTTTCCTTCATGAATACTGTGCTCTTAAAGACTACAGCTTTCTTTCCTTCGTGAATACTGCCTTTTGTTCGAATACTACTACTACTATTTCCTTCATGACTACTGCTCTTACATTCATGATTTCTGCTATCATTCGTGAATACTGCCCTTGCTTTCGTGAATCTTTTTATCTTTCCATCAAAAATATTGCTCTCTTCCTTCTTCGATGTCGAAAGACCTTGCAAAAGTCGGGAGGAGGGGAGGGGGAAGGGGGAGCGGGGAGGAGGAAGAATGACGAATAGAAATTCTCTAAGAGGATGTGGATGGGAGATGAGGAGGCTAAAAAAATTCGGTGGCCATTCCACCGCGGGTTGGCGACGAGTATTTTTCATAGTTTTTTTTTATCTTGACTTTGTGTTTTATCTTCAACAGTCAATCAACTAATGTACAGGTTCCTGTGCCTACTGGCCTCTATCATATCTACACTTAAAGCTGTGTATGGAGTCAGCGTCTCTACCACATCACTTCCAAATGCATTCCATTTGTCTTCTATGACACTGACAATAAATCTAACGTCTCTGTGGCTCATTCTGGTAATCAATTTCCACCCGTGTCCCCTAGTGCGTGTGCCCCTTGTGTTAAATATTCTGTCTTTTATTTCCCCCTATCAATTTCTGACAATCTTGTATGTGGTAATCATGTCCCCTCTAACTCTTCTGTCTCCCAGTGACGTGAGGTTTAATTCCCGTAGTCTCTCCTCGTAGCTCATACCTCTCAGCTCGGGTACTAGTCTGGTGGCAAACCTTTGAACCTTTTCCAGTTTAGTCTTATGCTTGACTAGATATGGACTCCATGCTGGAGCCGCATACTCCAGGATTGGTCAGACATATGTGGTATACAAAGTTTTGAGAGATTCCTTACACAAGTTTCTAAAAGCCGTTCTTATGTTAGCCAAACTGGCATATGCCGCTGATGTTATCCTCTTGACATGGGTACTCCCTTACCCACTGGGGCACCTTTACTATTTATTTTTGCCCGTTTCTCCAGCTTATGTACCAGCCTCTTATGGGGGTACTGTGTCAAAGGCTTTTCCGACAGTTCAAGAAAATGCAGTCCGCCCATCCTTCTCTTCCTTGCTTAATCTTTGTCATCTGATCATAGAATTTTGTCAAGGCTGTGAGGCAAGATTTACCCTCCATGAACCCATGTTGGTGGTTTGTAATGAAGTCTCTTCTCTCCAGATGTGTTATTAGGTTTTTTCTCACGATCTTCTCCCATCACCTTGCATCGTAAACAAGTGAAGGAGACTGGCCTGTAGTTCAGTGCCTCACACTTTTTGTATATTAGGACTATATTAGCCGTCTTCCATATTTCTGGTAGGTCTCCTGTCTCCAGTGACCTACTATACACTATGGGGAGTGGCACGTAAAGTGTTTCCGCACACTTTTTCAATACCCATGGTGAGATTCTGTCTGGACGAAAAACCTTTCTCACTTTTAGACCAAACAGGTGTCTCTTGACCTCATTTCTTGTAATTTCGAATCCATCCAAGGCTGCCTGGTTTTCTGCCACCTCTCCTAGCGCAGTCGCCTCACCTCGTTCTGTTGGGAAGACCTCCTGGAACCTCTTGTTGAGTTATTCCCACACCTCTTTGTCATTATCTGTATACCTGTCCTCACCTGTTCTGTTTCATCACTTGTTCTTTCACTGTTTTCCTCCTGATGTGACTGGACTAGCTTTGGTTAGGTCTTTGCTTTATTTGCTATATAATTTTCATACTTTTTATCTGCTTTTCTTCTCACACTAACACTCATTCCTGGTTCTCTGGTATCTCTCTCTGCTCTCTGGGGTTCTGTTATTTCGGAAGTTCCTCCAAGCGTTTTTGTTCATCTCCTTTCTTTCCATACATGCCCTATTAAACATAGATTCTTTTGCTTTTCGTATTTTTCTTTTTGGGCCGGGATAAACCTGTTTACTGCCTCCCGACATTTTTGGGTGACAGTCCACCATGTCTTGTACGGACTTGGCTCGGAGTTCTGTGTCCCATAGTATATCCCTTAGGAAACTTTTCATCTCCTCATTATTTCCCTTTCGGTACGCCAGCCCTTTGTTTCCTAGTTCTGTTTTTGGGGAGATAAATCCTAGCTCTACCAGGTACTCAAAGTTCAGTAAACTGTGATCACTCATTCCCAAGCGTGCTTTCCAACTTAACTTTCCTTATATCCTACTCATTTAGGGTAAATATCAGATTAAGCATGGCTGGTTCATCTTCCCCTCTCGTTCTTGTCGGTCCCCTTGATGTGTTGGCTTAGAACGTTTCTTGTTGCCACGTCCATCAGCTTAGGCCTTCATGTGTCTGATCTTCCATGTGGGTCTATGTCCTCCCAATTTATCATCCTGTGCTTTAAGTCTCACATGACTAGTAGTCCAGATCCGTTCCTGCTATCGACTGAAGCTGTCCGCTATTATGTTAATGGTGGCCATGTTTTTTCTCACTTATTTCTGTCTGGGTCTTCTGTCATTTGATGGGGGGGAGGGTTATATATATGACTACGACTATCATTTTTTGTCCTCCAATTGCTATGGTACCTGTTATATAGTCACTGAAACGTTCATGGCCCTGAATAACCATCTCCTAAAAATACAGCTTTTCTTACCAACAGAGCTGCACCACTGTGTGTGTGTATGTGTGTGAGTACATATGCACGTACGCATGTTTTTGTTATTAGAATGAGTATGTACAGGCTAATACTTACACGCATTGAGTTATTAATCCGTTCGTTAAACATGTACCGAGGCAAAGACTGAATTCACAGAGATTTGCTGAAATTAAAGAGATTTATTAGGGCCCAGTTGCTTATTCTGCATATTTGCTGCAAAAATTATTTTATATTCATTATTTAAGATAGTAATCAAAAGAAAAGTTACTGGTGGTAAAATGTGTGCCATAGGCTTGCATATTTCAGATTAGACTGTCGAGATTGCTTAGTTTGTGCAAGAATATCCTAGTTATCACATATCACACTTTACTTTTGGTTGTATATGCAATTAATAATAATATGAATAAAATTATATATACATTCTTAATTAATTATATAATAAATTATTTTACATAATTAATATTGCTTTCTTGAAATGTTGGTTAGTACTCTTTTGGTTATTTATTCCTGAGGGAGAAGACACTTTGCGGAGAGTGAAGCACAAATCGCATTTCCTCTGTGTAGGGGAATGTTTCGTGGAAAAATGGGATGCTCTATTTGGCAATATGCATATTGCATGGAGAAAAAGTAAAGGGGATAGCTTTACATTTTTAGTTTAGTATTAGAACCATAATTTATTGTATTAAACTCTAAGATGAAGACAGGTAAACCGAGATCATTCTTCGTTTGACTTTTGTCAAACACAGTTCAAATGAAAATGGGAAACAGGAATATTCAGAAGAGTCACGGTAGGGTCAAGGCGGCTGGAATGATCAAAGACTTAACATAAGAGAGGGTGTTTATGAGAGTTTGTTTATCTTAGCCAATGTGAAGAATATGAGACGGAATTCCAGCAACCATCTACTCCAAGCAAAAATCCATACTTTTTGGGTCCTGTTCCAGCGGCATTATAGTATTAATGTTCTCCAAAGTAACAAAATGTTCTCAATTCGGTATAATAATTAATTTGTTACATATGAGTTAGACTTTTAACTAAATAAAATTATTTATATAATTGATTCCACAATTAATTTCATTAATTTTGGAATCTGAAAAAATCTAAACGTTATTTAAGGTTTTCGAACTTTGTTACCATTTTACACATAGATACTATGCATGAGCATTTAACATTAGGAATCAGTAGATGCAAGTAAAAGTTTTATAAACTGAAAGACATTAGAATCGATATCTGATACAAAGTAATCAATACCGAAAACTTACGCAAACAAGTTCCCTTGTTTTCAATGTACCCAAAAGGACAGTAACAGTCAGCAATGCCTTTGGGATCCACAGCACAGGCAGCAGGAGCAGAGCACGTTACACTGGCGCACGGGTCAGCTGTTATGTTCCAAAATATATTATTAAATGCCATGATAACTAATATTATCAGTATTAAGCTTTCAGGAGCAGCTCATCAGCTAGGCTGAGCTTTCAGGTCACGGTTGCCTCTTTGCTAAACTATCAAACAGAACTGAATGCCTTCCATCGTCGAATTCAAAACACCGTACTTTAAATTACCCGATATACCTTACATTAACGTTTGAACAATATTTTGATTCTCCTTGCACAAAAGATTTTACCTACACTTACACAAAAGACCTTACATACATTTACATAACAAACCTTACTGCCCCTTACACAAAAAGACCCTGCCTACACTAACACAAATATCCTACGCTTAAACAAAACACCTTTCCTACACAAAAGATCTTATCAACACTAACACAAATACCCTTCACTTACACAAATATCCTACGCTTACACAAAAGACTTTGTTTATTACTTAAGAAAAGAACGTGCTTTCACCCATACAAAAGACTGCCTTCACCTACACAAAAAAACATTCCCTACACTTAAAAAAGCTCAGTGCCTGTTGCCTGTTGCAAGAGGCACTGAACTACAGGCCAGTTTCCCTAGCCATGCAATAAGGAGAAAATCATGAGGAAAAGGCTCAAGAAGCATCAGGAGGGAAATTGCTTTGTAACACATTACCAGCATGGATTCAAGGATCGTAAATCATGCCTAACAGGCGTAATATAATTGTATGACTAGGTGACAAAAATTAGACAAAAAAGAGAAGGGTGGGTAGACCCCATTTTCTTGGACTGTCAGGAAGCCTTTGGCACAGTACCCAATAAACGATTGTTATAATAGTTGGAGAAACAGGCAGGAGTGAAAGGTATAGTGCACTAGTGAATAAATCATACTAAGAAACAGCAAACAGCGAGTAATTGTGAGGGGGGAAGAGACATCAAAGATGGCAATATACCACCATCGGAGTCCCACAGGGCTCTGTACCTGGACCCATCCTGTTTCTGATATATGTAAACGATCTCCCAGATGGTATAGATTTATTCCTCTCAATGTTAGCTGATGATGAAAAAATTGAGATGAATCAAGACAGGTGAAGATAGACAGACTACAGGACGACCTGGAGGAATGGTCTAGAAAATGGTTACTAAAGTTTAACTCAGGGACATATAAAGTAATGAAATTAGGCGTAGGGAGGAGGAGCTTGAACACAAGTTATCATCTGGGAGGGGAAATCTGGCAATAGTCAAATAGAGAAAGATCTGGGGGTTCATATCACACAGAACCTGTCCCCAGAAGCCCAGATCAAAAGGATATTAGCGGCATATACCGGATTGGCCAACATAAGAAATGCCTTTAGAATTTTGTGTAAGGAATCGTTCAGGACCTTGTTACCTTACCTTGCGATGATTTCAAGGGTTAACGTCCCCGTGGCCTGGTCTGCGACCAGGGCCACTTATATGTGGTGTGGGGAAATGGGATGCTCAATTCTGCAAGATGCATACTGCATGAAGAAAAAGTAAAGGGATAGCTTTACATTTTTATTTTAGCAGTAGAACTAGTTTATTGTATTAAACTGTAAGATGAAGACAGGTAAACCGAGACCATTCTTCTTCGTTTGACTTTTGTTGTCAAACACAGTTCAAATGAAAATGGGAAACAGGAATATTCAGAAGAGTCACGGTAGGGTCAAGGCGGCTGGAATGATCAAAGACTTAGCATAAGAGAGGGTGTTTATGAGAGTTTGTTCATCTTGACGAATGTAAGGAATATGAGACAGAATTCCAGCAACCATATACTCCAAGCAAATGTATGCTACTTTTTGGTCCCTGTTCCAGTGGCATTGCAGTATTAATGGTCTCCAAAATAACAGACTTCTCAATTCTGTATAATAATTAATGTCTCATATCAGTTAGATTTTTAACTAATTAAAAATTTATTATAAAAAATCTAGAACAAATCTAGACATTATTTAAAGTTTTCAAACTTTGCTACCATTTTGCGCATAGATATCATGTATGAGCATTTGAAGCAAGTAAATCACACACAGAGATCACACTAACGTGATGAATCAAATGAACAAATCCACAAGGGCCGTGACGAGGATTCGAACCTGCGTCCGGGAGCATCCAAGACACTGCCTTAATCGACTGAGCTACGACAGGGTTAAAAGGGTTGAAACCGAAGTTCTACTGAACTTCCTGGATCCCGTAGCCTCTCCGAGGCACAAACCAGGCTTTTACACAACCCCCCCTGCACCCGAGCTATGTCAATAGGCCTTTTAACCCTGTCGTAGCTCAGTCGATTAAGGCAGTGTCTGGGATGTCCCGGACGCAGGTTCGAATCCTCGTCACGGCCCTTGTGGATTTGTTCAAGCAAGTAAATGTTTTATAAACTGAAAGACATTAGAATCGATATCTAATACAAAGTAATCAATACCGCGAACTTACGCGAACAAGTGCCCTCTGAGTCAATGTAACCAGCAGGACAGTAACATCTTGCAATGCCCTTGGGATCCACAACACAGACGCCAGGAGAGCATGTCACATTGGCGCACGGGTCAGCTGTAATGTACAAAAATATATTAATAAATGCCATGATAACCTAGATTATCAGTATTAAGCTTTCAGGAGCAGCTCATCAGCTAGGCTGAGCTTTCAGGTCACGGTTGCCTCTTTGCTAAACTATCAAAGGGAACAATACCTTCCATCGTCGAATTCAAGACACCGTACTTTAAATTACTTGTGATACCCTGCATCAACGTTCGAAAAATACTTTGATTCTCCTTCCACAAAAGAGTTGGACCTGTTCAGTTTTGGGAGTTCCAGATGTCACTTTTATTTAGTTTTTATAATTATTTATTTTCTGTAATTAAACAGGTGGCATTGTACTTATATATTTTGCAAGTAACTATTATATGTAATTTGCATTCTTGTGTGTTTTGAGAACAAGTGGTTGTTCAATTAGTTTTAAATATTAAAAAGTCCTTAGTTTCCATCCCTCATCCTGGATGAGGCAGACGGGAGAGAATTATGGGTAGCGACAGAGCGAGAGTTCAGTGGCTGATACGGGACCAGGAGGAGTAACATGTGGGAGATAAGTCTGTTTACTTGTTGTTGTGTCATGTAGTAGATCTTTATTCTGGGAGAGACAATATTTTGATGTTTGCTTTAATAGTGACCCACTGTTCATATATACAATATTGAGATGTATATGAAATATATATATATTAAAATGCATCCGTATATTTCTTCAGTCCTAAGGGAGATATACTTTTAATTCTGTGCCTGTTATCATTCATGGGGTTATACTGGTGACCCGCTTTAGAGAGCAGCAGTGGTATCCCTAGACGTAATTAAAGCTTGGCTGCTGTAGGGTCACGAGCCGTAACGAACGATAGGTAACAAAGAGTTATGGGGGCCTGTGCCGGGAAATATTGTTCCTACTTAAACTTAACTGTGCTAATCTAACCTTGCCTTCCTAGGTACCAGTGTGTTTAGTGTCTGTGTGTTTCTTAAGAACTATTCCATGTGCCAAGCAAGCTTTCCTGTGTGTCAAGTAACAACGTTTCACGATTTGGAGGTAAGTCATCCTATATATTTTGTTTGTGCAGTGAGGCCAAGCGAATTTTCAGTGTGGTGACAATTTTACAGTGAAGTGTAGTGCAGTGTATTATAGACTGTGGGTTGGTTGGTGTTGTCGTCGTTGATCCTTCTCTATGGACAACCCAACCCACAACTCGGCAGAGTGCTTATACTAGGAGATCACCCTTGGCGCTTCTGGCTCTTGGAGAGGGGCTCAACGTCACACGTTTAGGGGATGCGGCTCCAACACTTAGCCTCGTTGTCACGTGCACACACCCACTCGAGCCGCTGTGACTCCTATTATAGACTGTGGGTTGGTTGGTGTTGTCGTCGTTGATCCTTCTCTATGGACAACCCAACCCACAACTCGGCAGAGTGCTTATACTAGGAGATCACCCTTGGCGCTTCTGGCTCTTGGAGAGGGGCTCAACGTCACACGTTTAGGGGATGCGGCTCCAACACTTAGCCTCGTTGTCACGTGCACACACCCACTCGAGCCGCTGTGACTCCCCACTCTCTCCTTATGAGATATGATCTCCTCAATCCCCTATGACTTACTAGTATTACCTCCTACCCTGTCCACAGCAGTGGTTCTTGATTCTTTCTCTCTCTCTCTCCTTCTTTACTACCTCCTGGGAAGCCTCACTAGGACAAGGGCAAACACCAGCAAATTGTGACACATTTACTGGACAAAGCACATACACGATACATACACACACATAATAATAATGAATCCTATACTCTATAATATTACAATCAGGTTGCACTCCAACACCAGAACTCTATTATCAGCTTATCAAGTGGTATCCTACCTCCTGGTTCACCACCTGATACTATTAACCTCCTCAAGTTGATGAAGCCTACATACACTGTTGCACTATCAGCAAGATAATGTATATATAGAAAATCAGCATTTGAATGCAATAACAAATACCAGTATAAATGTTCATTGATACACAACGATGATCAATCGATCACTCTATCAGTCCTCGAACACATACATCTGTAGGTAATCAAGCCTACGACTGCAGCTCTAAACTTCAGTGTAAAACACTCCATGACATAAGAATGCAAACAGTCACTCACCTCTCACTGCGTCTTGCACGCTAATGACAACCAAACACTATCAACTCCCTACTAGTAATCCACCAGAACTTCCCCTTCCACCTCTGGAAGTTCACAACCCTAATATCCTTAGGATCTTCCGGGCTTCACTACCAGGATCCTCTGCAGCTCCTCCCGGCTGCTATCATGAAGTCTCCTTGTGCAACTACGGTGCTTCACCCTTCTGTTAGGTTCTTCCACAGCTCTCTTGGCTGCTACACCACCTCTACAGAAGCACGTGACACTCCTCTTCACTGCTGCTTCTCCTCACAGTTCGAGGTCCTCTGCTCCACTACCTTGGAGTCTCATCGGCTACATCATCTGCTGGCTTCGAAGTTCTCAGCAACTTCTTCCCCAAAGACAAACCTGCAACCCATCGACGTTCCAATAAAATGTTCCCCTTTAACACATAAACAAAAAATAACCACACAATATGCTTGCCTCAAACCTCTATCTGTTCTCTACATACAGTGAGAGTGGACTCCCCCGTTTTGGGCGGGTCCATACTCCACCTCGCCTGGCGGCGGTCCTCACTCGCTGGGAGGGTCTTCCTCCATCCGGAGCCAGGCTCCCTCAGTCGTCCGCCAGCGCTCAGAGGGGGCGGACGTCGCTCCGTGCTCCTCCCTCTTCACTCTCCTATTTCAGGCCTTCTGCCTTATTAAAACATGTCTAACTTATAAATAAACATCGCTACTGTCGCTGGGCACACGACCAACTACAAACAATCACTATGAACTGGCGTTTATCGTGCTTACCACAGATTAATTGGTCGAGGGCGCTTTCCCTCTGACGGCGTCTGGTCAGGGCGCTCCACACAGCACACAATAATGCTTCTGGGCGATTTAATATCTGCTCGTCGACCAGGACTTGAGACCACAACGTTCCCAGCTCGATTCCACAGCTGGTACGTCTGCACACTTCTCTTCTCTTAGAGATATATCACTAGGGGTTCCCTTCTGACGGGAGCTCAACGGAGCGCGGCTTCCCCCTGCGATGTCTGGCACTCAAGTGAGGTCAAGGTCCTCCAGAAGCGAGCCTCACGCCTCCAGCAAAATGTCCACATCTCCTAGCCCGTCATTTATCTATTTTCTTCTGCATTGCCCATAATCTCAAACTGTTACACATATCCAACCAACTATTTTACATATGCGTTATCACCTCAATACTGCTAGACCTTCTAATCAGGTCAGGCTTGACGAATAACTCTCAAGGAGGGAGACTCGTTTCTCCTGTAGGCTGAGATCATAACACTCCCCTCCCCTTATTTTTGAGAGTTATTCCAGTGGCAAAGCTCGGGATAATACATCCGCCACCACACTGTCTCGTTCTTCACCCCATATACTTCCTTAGGAGTCTACAATTAATTCGTTGCACCTTGCAACATCTGGCTCACAACTCTCCAGAAATATGATCTTCTCACAAACGATTTGACTTCTCTGACACCTCTTAGCTAGGCTGTCCTCTTTGGACGCCTGCACTCCATTGGTCCACTCTACTTACTGTCTCCACCCTCCGTTTCCTCGTCTTCTTCTCTTCACGTCCAGAGTCAGACATCTACTGTCTGTACCTCCTCTGTCGTCTTCACTCTTCCATCTACTGCCATTATACTTCCGTCTCCTGTCATCATACTTCACTCCCTCGTCTTCACCGACTATCCTCCCTTCCGTCTCCTCCTTTATCCGAGAGCTCATCCTGTTTGACCTCCATCGAGTCCTCGGCTTTCTTCTATTCATCCATGCTTGCATCATCATCCTCTTCTCACACCTCTCACCTCTATACAACTCCATTTCTTCTCCTTCAACTCTTCTTCGTTCCCTCTTTACCTCTCCTAAAGTGCTCATAAGCATCTCTCCACACATACTGTCTCTTCTCCTTTCATTTTCCGGCTATTACTCTTCTTCACTATCTCTCCTCCACGTTGTCTGTGAAACATGTCAACTCTTGACATCTCGAACAACTTAACTCCACTATCCCTATGCCTATGTGCTCGTGGACCACTTGACGCTCTATTTCCGTCCTCAGTATGTCCACATCTTTCCTCATTCCTACTCAGCACAGTTGCATTCACCTTCCGACTCTTAATTCCAGCAGTCTGGGCTCTACTCAGGTCCGCTCTCTTCACATGATTCTTCTTCGGCTGGGCCATCTTCCTTTTGACCTCACCGAGACTTCATTTTCCTGGGCTGGACCTTCATCAAACAGCCATGCTATATCTACGTCGATATCTTCTACCGGCTGAATCGACACTGTATCATCTTCTCCAGCGTCTTCCTTGTCGGCCACCTCTGTCTTCGTCACTACCGAGACAGGGTACTCAATGGCTTGGCGGTCTCCTGACTCATCTCCTCGGATGTCAGTCAGGTTCACACTCTCAGGCGTCCCACCCGTGCAGTGGCCTTCTGGGCACTCCTCTGGCACAGTCTCCGCTATGACTCTTGGCAACACCTTTGTCCCACACAAGTCATTTCCCAGGATCACTTGGACTCCTGGAACAGGTATGTCAGGGCACACTCCCAACATCACCTCTGCCGACACATATTTCGACCTTAGCTGGACAGTACATACGGGCATGTCACTCTTAGACAATAACCCATACACTCTCATCTTACTCCTGCCAGCTAACCGTCGATCATTCCCAATCAGGCTTCTCGCAATCAAGCTCTGATTAGCTCCGGTATCTCTTAAGATACCAACTTCTACCTCAGGTTGGCCTCCTACACTGATCCAACCTTTGCTCATGAACGGCCTATACCTCTCGTTCACTAAGTTCGCTCTCTGTGGTTTGTCTTGGAACACATTGATATATTTGCTTCGGGGGTCACACATGGCCAGGGTCACAACTCTCTTGCCCTGCCGACAATCTCGCATCACGTGAC